ATATATATATATATATATACCTGAATGCAGTTAATTCTAAATTGAAAGATTGGTATTGTGCTGTCTGAAGATTAATATAAACATGCCATTGTTTACCATTTTGACCAACTGTCATTTTATGCAAATATGCTGATTAATTTAAGAACAAAAAAAGAAAGAAAGAAAAAAATAAAGCTCTCTGCAACTCACATGCTCGCCCACTGAAGCTAAGCAGGGCTTTGGTCGGTCAATACCTATGTGGGAGACCACATGAGAGGTTGCTGCTGGAAGTGGTGTCAGTGAGATTCAGTAAAAAATCCCAGGATGTCTTTCAAAAAAAAAAAAAAAAAAAGATTAGGGACAGGTGGATGCTGCACACTTGTGATGTGTCCCCAACAACAACAAAAAAATGTGTGAATTGCTTTGATTGTCCTGACAAAGCACTATATAAATGTAAGGAATTATTTATTTTTATTTTTATAATTAGTAAGTGATGTGTTCGATTCTCATCCTCTTTTCACAGCCTGTGCCCGAGGAGCTACAAAATGGAGAAAAGTTTGGATATGTGGTGGCATTTCGTCCGCTTGGCACTACCACCTGGAAACAAAGCGTTCTGGCCTCAGCCGATTCATCACGATACGTTTATAAAAACGATACTTTCCCACCCCTCACTCAGTTTGAAGTAAAAGTTGGCGTCTACAACGACATCGGAGAGGGGCCGTTTAGCCCCACGGCCCTGGTATATTCAGCAGATGAAGGTTAATAAGCTTGTCTTTTGTGTTGATTGTATGCAAATTGGAAAAGGACATTATTGGACATCGTTTAAGAATGACAAAAGCTGATGGATGCGGTGCAAGTTTTAATTACACTCCCTCTACAGCTGTGTTAGTGCACTTTGATGGTAATTTCTTTATCCGCAAGTATGTGCAATTAGTTTTTTTTACAAACAGGTGGCAGATTTAATGCAAGACACTGCAGGTGAATAGGGTGATGAAAAATAATTAATAGTCATCACCATACTTTCACAGCTGTTTGGTTTACATTAAGAGTTGCAATCATGTTTAAAAGTCATATTATATGTATTACACATTTTCTGTTTAAATCTGCAGTAATGAGGCAGTATTTCATTAAATATGTGCTATTTAGCATACATTTCTAGCCATAGAATCTTAAATGTTTACACGTTATTATTATTGTTATTATTATTATTATTATTGTTATTATTATTATTATTATTATTATTATTATTATTATTATTATTATTATTATTATTATTATTATTATTATTATTATTATTATCATTATCATTATTAATTAATTTTTTTATTTTTGTTTTTTTAATTATTTTTATTTTATTTTTATTTTATTTTATTTTATTTTTTATTTTTTTATTTATTTTATTTTTTTTTATAAAGTATCCAGCATCTGATCTGTATCAATTTCCTCCTAGGGCTTTAATGCTTCAGTACAATTGCAAAAATGTGCAGTTAGCTGGGAAATAGGCTGCCGATTCATGCTTTATCTTTTCCAACTGATCCAACCTTTGATTTTCGGAAAACTGACCCAGAAAACGTTTAAAAATCCCTTTGACTTAAGTTTGGACTAAAATCTGTTGCATCATAACTCAAATAGCTCAATATAACTCAATAACTCAAATTCTTAGAAACATGATCTTTTACATCTGAAGTGTCTGTCTAGATGTGTAAAACCAAACATTAAACTGGGATGCAAGTTGTTCCCCTGGAGTGCAAGAGTGTCCCAACTTTTCCATTGACTTACAGTGGTGAGGAAACATACAGTATAGACTGCCATTATAAAGGTCCCAGATTGATATCTTTATGTTGCAGTGTCATAGAGACATCTGGGTTGATTTATATCATTCATATTGGCAAGAAGCTTTGATGTATCATCACTCTAAGATACCACAGCTTTATCACCAAGCAGCACAAGACCTGTTACTCACTGAAGCTAAGCAGGGCTGAGCCTGGTCAGTACCGGATGGGCAATGACATGGTGAAAACTAGATTGCTGTTAGAATATCTATAATATCCCTTTATTAAAAATAAAATCTTTCGGTATACAGATATGAATTACTGTAAAATTTTGCTGCTGAAGTAAAGTTATTATAGCTCAGTGCAAGATTTGTTTTTGTTTGTATGTTGAGAATACAACCTTTAAAAATATGTAACGTAATTGAAATCTGCAAAAAAAAAATTATAATTAATTTGGATTTTTTATAAGACAGAAAAAAAATCCGAAAATCAAAAGGTGCATTTTTTCACCATTAGTATTTTGCATTAAAAATCGATGTTGGATTAATGATGTTGGATGGAACTAAAAATGTATGTTCGATGAATGCCATAAACTGTCTATGGTTCTAATGTCACTGTTATTTGACTCCACATACAGAACCATCAGCAGCTCCTCCGAGAGTCTGGGCCCGCACTCTGTCCGCGTCTGAGATCGAGGTATTTTGGGAACCCGTCCACCAAAGCGGCAGCAAAGGACGGATAACAGGCTACGAGGTGCGTAAACACCATAAATGGATGAAGGGAGAGGGGGAAAAAAGGAGGCTCTGACCTCACACTGCATCACCTCAATCAGATCCCGTAATGTATGCACTGCGCTGATGGCAGGGCGTGCAATTTCCTGTTCGCCAGCAAGAGTCGGCGATCCCCCGGCCACATTTTTCACAATCTCATCTGCAGAATGAAGAGGTCTTCTCACAGCTGGTCCTGTCTCCCGGGGAGCGCCAATACCCAGGCTTTCTGGGCACTTATATAAATCACCTTTCAGATGTGTGGACATCATACATCAATTCCCCCTCCTGCAAACACTTCAGCTGCTAGGTCGTTTCTCTCGACGTGAGAAACCCACAGGATTCTGCCCATTTCTCTCCTTCCAACCTGAGCGAGCCTCCGCAAGAAATCCCAGGTCACATGGTTGTTCTGTGGCGAAACCACAAAGTCGTTCACAGCTTCGGGTTGTTAAAAAAAAAAAAGCACATATGAAAATCCACAAATACTCACAGAGTCCCTTGCTGCTGTGTGCAGATGTTTATTGAACGCAGCAAAAAGAGAAAAAAAAGAAGCGAGTCACAGTGACTTTGCCACAGAGTTAGTGTATTGAACCCTAATGCTAGAACAAAATGACATTCTTCTCAAGTCGATTTCTTTGCGGTTTGGTTGAAAGCACACTTATTCAAGCAGAAGTATTATGCCCATTCCAATCTAACATATCTCTATACCATTTATGTAATAAAAAATACAGTGACTTTTATAATGAAATGAACTTTAAGTCCTCAAGAAATCAAAACTAACCAAATGATTTTGTTAGCTCATAATGCTAGTTTTGTGGTGAACAATTCATCTGTAAATGTCATTAAGGATAAGAAATAGTTTGCCCTTCTTTGTAAAGCTTCCTATTAAAAACATACATTTAAATGAGAGATTTGTGAGGGGTGTACCTAAAGATGCTGAGCACTGTATGTGTGCAAATTACATGTAATAATTCCACTAATGCCATTCATTTCAGTTTTTAATGCATGTATAAATATGCTTGTTTTGAGTTGCCAGTTTAACATGTTATAGTGTATAGTGCAGGGGTGTTCAAACTCGGTCCTGGAGGGCCAGTGTCCAGCATACTGTAGCTCCAAATTTCTTCAACACACCTGCCTGGAACTTTCTAGAGCTCGATTAGCTGGTTCAGGTGTGTTTATTTAGGGTTGGAACTAAAATGTGCAGGACACCGGCCCTCCAGGACTGAGTTTGGGCACTCCTGGTATAGTGTGATTGGATTTGAAAGAAATTGGCAGAAATTTAAAAATAACAATCATCCTTTCTGACTGCAAATTTCATTAGCAAATAAGCTAATCATCAACAATCACAGCACTTCAATTTTAAATTACCCAATCATCCCCCAAACATCTAGATGGAAAAATTAAATTTATTTTTAATCTAAATTGCAATCAATTCAAATCCCTGGTATATGTGCATTATTGCATGATTCTTGCAAAACCTGCACAATGATTGTTAGAGAAGTGTATGTCTGGACGGGTTCATGTGGACATGATTCAATTCATCTTTATTTTTTATAGTGCTTTTACAATGTAGAGTGTGTCAAAGCAGCTTAACATAGAAGTTCTGGTAAATTGAAACAGTGTCAGTCCAGTTTTCAGAATTGTCATTTCAGTGTGGTTTAAATTCCACTGTTAAAAGTCCAAACACTGAAGAGCAAATCCATAAGTTCCATAAGCTTCACAAGTCCCAAACCAAGCAAAACCAGTGGCAACAGTGGCAAGGAACAGACTTCACCAATTAATGAAAGTGTAGGAAAAAAATAGAAACCAAACTCAGTTGGGGATGACCATTTCTCCTCTGGCCAAGCTTATTGTGCAGAGTTGCATTCTAGGTGCAGAGACTGGAGAACGCTGTATGTCCATCGTGGTGAAGCTGCAGGTCTGAGTAGGTCACTGGCAGGTGTTCCGGCTGGTCCATGGGATCAATGCGAAGACTCGTCTGTCACTGGGGTCTTTCAGGAATAAGTCTCATGCTCACCGCTCCTCCATGACCGCCACAGCATCTGCTTAGAATACGGTCTGGTCCAGGATTATGGATACCTTGGGATCATCTCTTCACAAGTCTTGGATTGCATCAATGGCGCTGCACAATCTCTAGAGGCCTCAGGATTAGTATACCCCAGTTAGCGTAGTCGTTGTTCATAGTGTATTTAAAAGATATTTTAAAAATCGAAGCAAAAATGAAGTGTTATAAATGAAAATAGAGGTTATGTAAACAAAGAAACAAACATGTGAAGCATATGAGTATTTATAGTAATAAGTTTTGAACAGACAGAGTGTGTCTGTGCCTTAGACAGAAGGTTATTCCAGTGTTAAGGAGCCATAAATGAGAAGGCTCAGCCTCATTTAGTAGACTTTGCTATTCTGAGTACTACCAGAAGCCCTGAGTTTGAAGATCTGAGTGTTTATAATGACATGGGTATTACTGTACAATATAAACATGACTTAAACATCAAAAGGCTTAATTTATAACAGATTGTTTATTATTATTATTATTATTATTATTATTATTATTATTATTATTATTATTATTATTATTATTATTATAGTTATTGTTATTATTATTATTATTATTATTATTATTATTATTATTATTATTATTATTATTATTATTATTATTATTATTTTGTAAAATGTCTGCTTTATGTGAGGGTTATGTTTAGGGGAAGGTGGTTGGATATAATAACACATTATAATTGATTTAATAGACACTTTATATATACTTATAGTAGGCACATTTTAATAGGTACTGTAAATGTCCTCTTCACCATTCCAGGTGCAGTGGTTAGAGGACGGGTCACCCGAGAACGATGCAGAGAGAGTTCGAGTCACTGAAAGTTCAGTCAATATAACAGGTCTGAAGGGAAGTACAGTCTATCTGGTGTCGGTCAGAGCCCACAACAGCGCAGGCACTGGACCCTCCAGCGCCCCCATCAGCATCACCACCAAAAAGCCACGTAAGTCTGGACTGTTTTCTGCTCTAACAATGCACAATGCACACAAGTACAGTAGTTGACAAGAAATGTATCTAGGGAAGCTGACATGCCCTGCGGTAAGGCAAACCCCATCCAAAACTTTTTTAAAAGCATTTCTGGAGTTCAATATTTATTATGCTTGTAGTTTTTTTGTTTCTTGGTAGTATAGAGAGGGATATTTGTACATGGACCATGAAAAGGCTAGTAATAACAAAACTTATGTGTTGTAATGTTTAGACGAAGTAAAGTAAGTGCCCTGGGGCCTCGGACTTCCTCGGGCCTCCAAAGCCTGAGGCTGCCTGACCAAATCTGTAAATGGAAGCTGGACGGCAGGCTCTTCAATACATATAGAGCAATAGTTACGGGCCTCGGGCTGCACATACAGTGTAAACTGACTTCTACAGCCCCTCAGGCCTAAGCAGAAAGCGTTGCTAAAGCACACTGTAGCTTACAATGCTATATGCTGTATACTACACATACACATTCATGTACACGCTAATGCAAACAGTAAGTTCTGCTCAGATCGTTCTAATATGTTGATTTAGCGCCCAGTAAATATAAATAGTTATTAGTGTTCAATTATTTATGGTTCTTATATGTATCAATGTTGAAAAATCAAAAGAGCTGCCTTTGGTAATATTCTAAAATTATAGATTTGATTGGTAGTGCATAATAGGTAGCACTGCTGTTATCAACATTGATGATAATAATCAGAAATGTTCCTAAAGCAATACATAGTTTAATGTAAATAAAGTTCTAACATTTATTAATTATAATTATTATTATAATTATAATTATTATTATTATTATTATTATTATTATTATTATTATTAGTTTTTAATTTAATTAGTTTAATTATTAGTTTAATTTTTTTTGGCAAACAAATGGTGCAGTAGGTAGTGCTGTGCCTCACAGAAAGAAGGTCGCTGGTTCAGGCCTCTGTATTGTACGGGTGTGTGAATGTGTGTGTGGATGTTTCCCAGTGATGGGTTGCGGCTGGAAGGGCATCCGCTACATAAAAACTTGCTGGATAAGTTGGCGGTTCATTACGCTGTGGCGACCCCGTATTAATAAGGGAAGAAATGTGATATAAGTGACTTTGAACGTGGCATGGTTATTAGTGCCAGATGGGCTAGTCTGAGCTAACTAAAATTAGACAATGGAAAACCTGGTTTCGATTTCTGTTGCGACATTCGGATGGCGGAGTCAGAATTTGGCGTCAACAACATGGTTGAGTGGCTCCATCGTGCCTTGTATGAATGGTTCAGGCTGGTGGTGGTAGTGTAATGGTTGGGGGATATTTTCTTGGCACATTTTTGGCCCCTTGGTACCAATTGAGCATTGTATCCATGCCACAGCCTACCTGAGTTTTTGCTAACCATGTCCATCCCTTTATGACCAGTGTATCCATCTTTTGATGGCTACTTCCTGCAGGATAACGTGCTATGTAAAGCGCAAATCATTTCAGACAGGTTTCTTGAACATGACAATGAGTTCACTGTACTCAAAGGCCTCCACGGTCATTTGGGATGGGGTTGAAGTGATGATACAGTGATGATATCATGTCAAAGGATTAAAGCAGTTCTGTAGGCAAAAGGGGTCCAACCAGGTACTAAGGTGTATTTAATAAAGTGGTCGGTAAGTGCTTGTAAAGTACATATGTAAAGTATAGTACACAACAAACCAATAAATTATTGGAAAATAATGTATAAATCACTGTGCATCTCTCACCTGTGTTCAGTACCAACATTTCTGAATTAATAGTGAAAGCTTATCTGCAAGAAAAACTTCACTATTACCTCAGTAGTGAGAAATATCAAATAGCTTTAAAATGCAAAACTATAGTATTAATTAAATCATCAGACCACCGTGAGTGTGGGATTTTCTTGCATAATAAAGCGCAAAAACATAGAAGTAGTTTGTTATTTTGATTGTTTTCCTGCAATGCCCTTTGAAATATTGAAAAATGTCCTGCAAATAATTAGAATGTTCATAAGCCAATCAGAAATAAGAATCTGCCTTGCCTGTAGTATAAATGTATACATGTAACGTTGTTTAATCATGTAGAATAAGTTATCTGCCACTAAGTAGGGTCGAACTTGAAAGATGTGAGATCGGGGCCTGAAAGGATCATAATCGGACCCTGTTAAACTCTTAGTGGGGTGTTCTCAACAATAAAAGATTAAGGTGGCCTCGGTTAAACTACCATGGCTAAATAGGCTCATTATCTGATGCCAATAATCAAGAACAAAACACAGTGTTTAACTGAGCCAGAACTGATCAGATAAACTATGACATTACTATGGAGGGAGTCTTATAGCTATTTTCAGCTATTAGACCGAGGGTACAATTAAAGAGCGCTTTAAAATAAAGAGCTTGACAGATTTCTCTCTTTGTGCAGGAGCTGATAGGCGATTGTTCTTGTCTTTGTACTGTGGATTATCAGACCAAGCACACTGTGATGCGGCAGACCACTGTTATGATCAAGTATAGTTATCAAAATAGCATGTATTGTAGACTCGCTAGGCTGGCTATCATTAGTTAAATTGCTTCAAATTACGATAGCTATTATGCTCTTCTTTTTAAAAAAAGCATGAATACACGGCACACAAAGTCCTAGCCATGGGATTTAATGATAAAAGAGGTCAGTTTTTTACTGATTCGGTGCTCAATAGCTGTTAAACTTGGTTTAAATTTCTCAATTATAGTGAAAAGTAGATCATTGGAAGATATTTTCGGAATTGTTTGTATGGGAACTTTAGTGGCAAGCACATCGTTTCTAAAATTGATCGGAAGCAACTCTAAATCAGGGTCAACTATTTTACTGTTAGTGAGTGGAAATATAGTACAGAAGGGCATGCTGACATTCAAGCAGAATTAAAATATCTGGCATGTCAGAATATTAAAATCTTCAATACTTTCCAGCATAATTTAGAGCAATCTTTTTAGAGTACAATACAATTGATAGACGTTTTTCAGTTCTTTAGTCATTTGCCTTTTCTTTTCTTGTAAATTGCACACAGTGGATTTAAGCTTATTCTCTACTGCCAAAATTTTAATGTTATGAACAGAAATGTTGGCCTTTAAGGTATAATTTGCCCTTAAAAGAAACTTCTGGCATGATTTTCTCAAACTTGTGTTATGCCAAGCTTATATGTCTTTTTTCTGTGCAACACAAAAGATGTTTTAAAAGTTGCCAGCTCTGTTTTGTTGTTGTATTTTGAAAATGGATAGAAACCAGACCCTGTCAAACTCTGAAGAGATAAGAGTACATCATAAAAAGTAATGGTAACAGTATATAATAACTGCACTCTTTTAATAATTTATTAAGCATTAGCAAATAGGAGGTTAATCATTTGTGATGAAATATTTACATTAATAGACATTACTTAGCAATTTATAAATACTGCTACACTGTAAAAAATCTGTAAATTGACAGTTTTTCATATTTTGTGATTCATGTTTTTTTTCTTTGCTTATTTATGCTTTTAAAATGCATTTTAGGATCTTGATCTATCCTCCAAAAGCTTTTGATCTAAAAGTGAATTTATTGACATTTTAAATAGTTTAAAGTGATATATTGTCTGGGTTGATGTTGCAAATTACAGTACAAAAATCTGGTAATAAGCTACCCGTACATTTTCTGTTATTTTACAGACTTCTATTATAGGAAATGTAAATAAAATTTAAAAGAAAATCTCAAAAATGTCAATTAAAGTCATTTAGTTGAACTGTAGAGTTGAATTTTCAACATGAAAAGTGGATAGAGCAGAGATAAAACTCCCATAATGAAAATCACAACCGCAAATAAACAGAAAACACTTGTGTACAAATGCTGTATTCTTGACTTAAAAGCACACAAATATGTGCTTAATTATTGTATTTTCATATTTTGTTAATGATTAGTTGTCACATTATTTACAAACTAGTTATTTAATAGTAGTCATTGATTTTTAAGATCATGTTTAATTAGTACAATTTTACAATTTTATTTTTAGTTAAGATTGCAAAGATTTATATTTCATTTGATAGTTTTACATTTTACTGAAACCACTGGTAGAATATTTCGCTTGTTTTAAGGAATTTTGACTTATTATTTATTAAAACAAAAACAAAAAAATGTTTACTAAGTCTAGTCTAGAAAATGCTTCTTAAATTAAATATTTTTCCTACTCCAAGTAGGAAAAGCATGTTTTCCAGTAAATAAATACAAAAAGGAGCCAAAACATTTCTGAACGAACCAAAAATTGTTGGGTTTTTTTTAAATTTCAACAGTTCAGAATACTCTTGTCGTATTTGCAAAATTGATCAGTATACATGTGGTAAACACATCTTGTTGTGGCAGATCTTCATTTGTGTACAATAAAGAACTCATGGCATGTTATAAGCTCCTCATGAGTTCTCAACTGAAACATCCATCACCATACGCATGCGATACATGCTAACAGTAAAGCACACATTATAGTTTTATTTGTTTGGAAAGGGGCAACATGGTGGCTTAGTGGTTAGCACTGTCACCTCACAGGTAAAAGGCTACTGGTTCGAGTTCCAGCTGGGCAAGTTGACGTTTCTGTGTGGAGTTTGCATGTTCTCCCTTTGTTGCCGTGTGTTTCCCCCACAGTCAAAAGACAATGGCTAAAAGTGAATTGAATAAACTAAATTGACTGTAGATTGTATAGGTGTTTCCCAGTACTGGGTTGTGGCTGGAAGGGCTTCCTCTCCTTAAAACAAATGCTGGAATAGTTGGCGGTTCATTCTGCTGTGGCAACCTCTAAAATAGAAACTAAGCCGAAGGAAAATTAATTAATGAATGTTTGGAAGATTCTGTCACAATATGTAGTATGTTATAACCAGCTTTGTCAGGTTTTCACAACAAAACTAGCCAAATGTCCAGTAAACTTGTAAAATGTCCAATAAACTTGTAAAATTTACCTTAAATTAAAAAAAAAAAAAAAAAAAAAAATATATATATATATATAATTTACCAGCAATCCTGGAGAGTCATGCCAATCTGTAACCATAAAAATGGAAGCAGCCATTCTCAAGCATGCTTACTCTAAGGAAAATGTGAGGAAAAAAAAGACACTGAAATATAGTAAAATATTTTAACACAGCCACAGAAACATGATTAATGCACTATGCCAAACCTTTAACATACAAAATAAAAATAAATAAAGCGGCAAGTGGTTAAAAGCATAGACTGTAAAAGACATTGAAGTAGTATCCGTGAGGTCACCCATGGTTTTTTTTGAAGAGCGCAAATAAAACCACAAGTAGGTGTGGCCAATCCACACTTGGTTCGCTAAAAAACATCTTTGAGTTGTGCACAAGCCAAAAAGATTTTATCTGATTCTTCACATGTGCTGTCTTTGGAGTATGAGCTGATTAATTCTGGCAGAAGAGACAGGAGACAATAAATTTTACCTTGACCTTGATCGTCGCCATTTTGTTTGCACATCATCGTACCGACAGGGGGATACCAAACAAGGGAAATGAGGTGGAGTGTCAGTGGAGCTGCACAAGCCTGCTAACATTTTGCTTAGATGGGATTTTTTAAATAAATAAAATAAATTTTTAAATCCTATTTATATGGCAAGTTCAGCGACTAATCAGCCGAAATCAGCTAAGGTGACATGATGGCGACCATCATGATATCATGATAGCTGTCACTCAAGTGGCCATGCCCTTAATTATGCAGACTTAATATAACTTAATAAATAGGAAACAGATGAGTTATAAAAAATTTATCCTCCTCACAGTTGTTATGAAGGGTAACATTAGCTTTATGCACCAAAACCATCTTTTGTAGCTGGCTGTAAACATGTTTTTATCAGATGTAAAATTGGACAATTTATCATTGGAGTTAGTGGAAGTCCTGGGGCCAGCCCCCTAAGGCGAGTCGATGAATTGCAGTTTTAAGTTACTTCCGTATTGGCTTCACGAGGGATAGTGGGAGGTTGCCACTTTGTTAAAAGTAGTCTAATTCTATGGAAAAACTGTAGACTTGGCAACCCTAGTTATACCAACCTTAATTTTATCTTTGTATTGACCCTTAGTGTTTGTTTCTAAAAAAATGACAGTGTGAACGCTAAGGGAATCAGGACTAATTGTATTATTTGAGTACCAAACAATACCATTACTAACAGGCTTAAAAGTTAAAGCTAAGTTGAATTGAATCTGTGCCACTGACTGTGGAAGTCTTCAAATACACAGTAAGTGATACTTAAACTACTGTAGAGCTAATTGTAAAGATTGGACATGAAAAAAATATACCCTGGATCCGATGTTCAGTCATAGAACTCATTTTTGAAGTAAACGAGAATATGATTTATGTCTTTTAGCTCCAAGTCAGCCCCCAGGGAACATCGAGTGGAACCTGACGAACTCAAAGGTGTTTCTGAACTGGGAACATGTGAAGGCGATGGACAATGAATCAGAAGTAACCGGCTACAAGGTAATCTGTTTTTTGGCTCTCGCTCTTCTGCTGCTTTGCTGATAAACATGCTGTATCAGTGTGCCACATAAGCTGCTGTTTCACAAAAAAACAACTCTGAGATAAATGACTGAGAATGTTACCTTTGAACGATACATTATATACAGTACAGTTTTTTCATTTCATTTAATTTCTTTCTTTTTTTTTCTGTTTTGAAGTGCAAGTGAAGCCTTTCCAGATATGCTCAAGCAGCTTCCTTTGAACTTCTTAGTATAAATGCAAATCATTTTTGGATAGCACTATATTTAATTATAGAAGTAGATTATATGTAGTTTTTTAGTTAGTAAATTAATTTTGCATACCTTATTTATCACAACTATTACAGGCATTACAATTACATATATATATATATATTACTTGTAAATCCTTATGTGTCAGGAGGGTTTACATATGCCCAGGAATCTTTTTCTCTAATCATATTACAGCATTCAAGTCATGTCTGTTTATTATTAGCTATTTAGACTCACAGATTGAGTCTAAACAGCTGACAATAATGGTCAAGTGGGTTTGCAGAAAGGTCTGAATTAGTTTGCTCTGCTTATTTGATTATTTTGGACAGTTCACTCACTCACATAATTATTTCGCTTTTAAACTTCAAAATAGCAACCAGATATTCTGTAAAGCAGAAACAAAATGTAGGCCAGAAATGTTCTGAATTTCTGATTTTCCTATGCTTTATTGTACTTTTTGCTGTACAATCAGAGTTGATTACGAGACTGTTTTGTATGAGATTGGTCAAAATAAATAAATAAATAATTTCTTACATTTACAGTATATAGCACTTTTCTGGACTCTCAAAGCACTTTACATATTTTTGGGGGGGATTCTCCTCATCCACCACCAGTTTGCAGCATCCACCTAAATGACGCGATGGCCAGACCGCACACCACACACCAGCTGATTGGTGGAAAGGAGTACTGAATCCAATTATGATATGGAGATGGTTAGGTGGCCATGATGAATAGAGGCCAGTTGCAAATTTGGCCAGGATTCCGGTGTTTCAAAGGATATGCTGGGATTTTTAATGACCACAGAGAGAAACCTCACCAAAAGAAACCATTTAACGTTAATCTATAGAGTCTTCATCAATATACTGGGGTGTTAGGGCCCACACAGACTGTAGGTTGAGTGCCCCCTGCTGGTCTCACACACACCTTCCGGCAGCAACCTAGCTTTCCCATTTAGGTCCTAACCAGGCTCATCCCTGCTTAGCTTCAGTGGGCGACCATGTGAGAGTTGCAGAGAGCTAGCAGCTTAGGTTAAGAGTAGGTTAAGAATTACTATAAGTAGTAGTAGTTGAAGTAGTAGTAGTAGTTGTTGTAGTAGGCTGTAGTAGTAGCCTATAAGATTGTAACGGTTCTCTGTAAAAAAAATGTATTGTCCTGTTGTTCTCCTATGGTTCGGTGCGGCCTGTAATCCGCGGTTCTGAATATGGATTATTAATATTGGTTTGTTAATAAAAAGAACTTCAACAAAGCAGTTCCGCCTTTGTATGCTTCCGATTAGCTTTCACATGCATTGCACGTGCAAATACCTGTCCAATCACCTTAGTATGTAAGTCTGTTGATGACATCCCATTTCCTCACATGTTGGTGTGTACATGTGTAGATTCTGTGTGTTTCAGCATAGCAAGTGAAGGGGATAAAGCGCAAATGCGCAGGTGAGGCCAAATGACAATGCAATGCTGTCAGTGTTTCAACAAACACTCATTATAAATTCTGACAGACAACATAGCCTATATCAGTGGTCACTAACAGGCAAATCGAGGTCTGTGTCCAGACCCAGAAGGGTTCCGTACGGACGTGGACATTCAACAGGTCTGTTACTTCAGTCCAACTTCTTTTGGGTGTTCTTCCGCACCCGATCACTCCCGCTATTCACTGTTTACACACTCTGTTGGACTGTTCCTGCAAAATTAAAAGAGAAGAGCCGAACGCTCTCTCTTTGCTTAAGTTTTATTCACTACGATAATGCTAAATGAAACAGAGCTCTCTGGAATCATAATAAAATCCCATTGAAATCATGAATAAAAATGTGCTGTTGCCTTGGTAATGCAAGCATAATGTAAACAGAAGTAAGCAATACTTGATTCTCAGTTATTAAGATGTGTTGACAATAATTATCTGCATAATTGGTTGTGATGTCGAGTCGAGATGTAAAATAGAAAAAGGGGAAATTTTAGCTTAATTTCTTAAGCAATTTATTTGAACTTACAATTTTCAAAAGGCCCTACTTTTATTAAATTAATGTGAGACCATGCAAATCTACAGTCAAATGTGTAATGCTGTTGAATTGTCAGGTGTTTGTTACCAAATAAATATGTTTATTGTTCTATGAACTGTTCTATGAATTATTTTCCTTAACATGGCACAAACCGTACCGAAACCATGACCCTAAAACCGTGATTCATACTGAGGCGTGAGTAGATTGAACTGTTGCACCTCTAGTAGCCCATGGAGTGTATTAATGCCACCTCATTTTTTTTTTTTTTTTCATATTTAAAGTGGTTCTTATGGTTCTAAACCAACTAGCAACAAGGGGAATGTCAACATTAACAACTGTGATTTAAATCACAAAATCAGACAAAAACACTGTAGTTGATGGATTTATTGAGGAGGAAACTACAATCCCATGTAGCAATGTGAATAGCACAATAGCATTAAAAAGATGTAGGAATGTGTATGTAAAGTTGATGGTTGTATTATGAAGTATTTGGAGAGAGTTGGGAGTGGATGGAGCTACAGTAAATATATTTTGCGGTATACGTGCTTGCTTTGTCCCTGATTGGTGGAATTTTCTGCATAGCATCATGGTTGATGCAGTTTTTTTCAGTACAAATACTGATGCTAAACACAAATATTTAGAAAAATACTCAAAATAAGTTGAATTAATGCAAAATATTACTAATGCAAAAAGATAATTAATACATAAAGCTCTATTATTAGACTTTATTATTATTTTTTATTTACTTCTGGAACCAACTGCTGCACACTATAGTAAGTGCCAACAGAGGCCACTCTTTCTATTTGCTGGGAAAATAACAAATAGTGAAATAATTATACATAGGAGATTAAGTATATGCTTTTAACATGAGCCTTAGCAAATATTATTAACAATAAATAGTGGATGTGAATGAATTAAAGCGAACATCTGAGTAGACATTACAATAAAAAGTAGATTAAAATAAATCCAGTTTCTAGATTTGAATTTCCCCTTTCAAATTCCCTTTCACGAGGCACAAGAAAGCGCTTCCTCACTCAAGGTCACAGATACAGTTCAGAAACATCTGAGACTTTTTACATTTCAAAACAAGCTGCTCCAAACTCCTGCGGCGTTCAAACCCAGAGTCATCTTTAGCCCAAGTTCACATAGAATGTTCGGAAAGAGGATTAAAAACTGTCCGATGTGACTCATTTCTTTTGAGCAAATTAATTTTCTGCAGTGTGCTGGCAGCTAATTGACGACGGCCTCTCTGAAATGTAGAGGTTTGTAGGGTTGGCGAACAGCTGGACGGCTCTAATGTTATCCTCCATCTGGAGCTATGAGCTTTCAGAAGAGAGAAGCGCTATTCATTTGCAATCCTAACCGTCCGCTGCGAGGCGCCTGCAGAATAATGCAATCAATAATCATAAATTCACTGGCAAGAAAGAATATCAGTTTGGTGGCTGTTTGTTTTGCACTGTCAATCTGGAAAAATAAAATATACATTTAAAGGATTTATGAATTGTGAAACCTATTTTTTCGGAGGAAGATCTGTCTGCAAACATACTAATAATCCTCCCACTGAAAATCGATTTTAAGTTTGAAATTGATGGTGAATTTTTTAATTCATTTCGTTTTCTTTTCTTTTACCCATTTTTGTTTTTAGGGAGATTGCATGGAGATGGTCGGAAATATTAAAATACTTTCATCTACTTTTCAGTGCTGCTATGGGTGATTTGTATACACTACCTGACAAAAGTCTTGTCACCTATCCAAGTTTTAGGAATTAAAAAAGGGTAACTTGACTTCTAGTAGCTCATTTGGTATCAGAAGTGGCTTATATAAAATGCAAAGGCCTCTAGATTATGCTTATTTTACTAAAATAAAATATGATCATGCCTTGATTTTTTAAATTATTTAATTAGAAAAAGAAATAACATTGTGTATTACTCCCATGAGCTTGTAGAACTAAAGGCTGTCTAAATAACTTAATAAAGTCATCTGGAATGGCATCTTGTAGGACTCCCAGGGTTCATCAAGATTCTTTAGATTCATCTTCAATGCCTCCTCCTCCATCTTACCTCAGACATGCTCAATAATGTTTATCTCTGGTGACTGGGCTGGACAATCCTGGAGCACCTTGACCTTTTTTGCTTTCAGGAACTTTGATGTGAGGCTGAAGTATAAGAAGGATCGCTACCCTTCTGAAGAATTTGGCCTCTCCTGTGGTTTGTAATGTATTGGGCAGCACAAATGTCTTGATACATCAGGCTGTTGGTGTTGGCAATCACTCTGCAGATCTTTTGCACGCCCCATATTGAATGTAACCCCAAACCAGTTTTTTTTCTTCACCAAACTTGAGTGATTTCTAGAGAATCTTGGGCCCACGCAGGTTCCAATATGACTTCTGCAGTGTTTGTAATGATTGGGATGCAGTTCAACAGATGATTGAAAAATCTACCTTCTGCCACTTTTCCAAATAAACAACAAGTCAAGTTAAGCTTTTATTTGTTATTATCCCAGTTACAACTGGGATCAACGACAAGACTTTTGTCATGTAGTGTGTATATATACATTGCAGTCAACTTTTGAAGTGGATCATCACCCTAATTATATATTTTTTCACTGTTCTGAAAGTGAATGTCTATGGAAATACACACGCACACACACACACTTTCAGTCTAAAGTTTGTATAATAACTTTTTTTTTAATTTTTTTTTGTGCATGTTTGAACTCTCACATATTCAGCAAATCACCAAAGCTGTATTTGATGAAAACCTCACTAGAAAGAGAATATAAAATAACGGTTTCTTATGTTGATATACTTTCAAATGTAAATTATTCTTGTGATGAATTTACAAAGCTGAATTTTAAGCAAGTTATTTATAGATATATGCTATATGTCACGTTGGCACAGTGGGTAGCATGATCACCTCACAGCAAGAAGGTCGCTGGTTCAAGCCTCTGCTGGGTCAGTTGGCATTTCTGTGTGGAGTTTGCATGTTCACGTGAATTTCCTCTGGGTGCTCTGGTTTTCCCAACAAGTGACATAGGTGAATTGGATAAGCTAAAATTGTCCAAAGTGTATGTGTGTGAATGGGTGGGTATGGATGTTTCCCAGTGATGGGATGCAGCTGCAAGGGCATCCGCTGTGCATCATGCTGGATAAGTTGGCGGTTCATTCCGGTAAATGAATAAATATATGGTACAGTAGGTGTAGTTTGATTATGTAGAGTTTGATTGTTGTTGTTTTTTTAAAGAAATATTATTTAATCTAATAATATACAACATATTAAGTAGCAAAAATTATGTTTTTATAATACAAATATTTTCTGAATAAAATAAAATATTAATACATAATTGGAAAATATAGTTATTATTATTATTATTATTATTATTATTATTATTATTATTATTATTTATTTTTTAAATTTATTATTATTTATTTATTTTTATTTATTTTTTTTTGGGGGGGGGGGGTATTTTTTTGTTTTGTTCTTTTACAGAAGAATGGATTCTGGTCACAAAAAAATAAATAAATAAATAAATAAATCAAAGAACCATTTCTTCATAATATTTTAGAAAATTTTACTAATCTAAAGAACATTGTTACCCTATGAAGAATGTTCTGTAAAATTGAAATGTGTCATGTATGGTAAAGGTACCATCAATACCACACAAAGACCTTTAGTTTTAAAGTATATATTTTCAAAGGCATCTGTGCATCATTAAATGCCCTTGTTGTTCTAACATCTTTATTTATTTGTGCATGTGTTTTTGACTATAACTTGTGCACACTAGCATCTCACTGACCCACTTTCTCTGATGCAGGTTGTATACCGTCAAAACTGGCACAGGGGAAGCAGTGTAGTGGAGACCAACAGGACGTCTGTGGAGCTTCAGTTGCCTTCAGAAGAAGACCTGCTCGTTCAGATCAAAGCCCTGAGTGACGGAGGAGACGGCAGCAGCAGCAGCCCTATACGAATACCAAAGATGTCAAGTAAGGCTTCATGTCAGCTCATTAAAGGGGCTGCTTGCTGATTTTTCTTTTGGGTGGGGGAGATGGGGATGTACACATAAAGTTGAATTGCTAACAAGGCAATTGCTTGACATTTGTAATGGCCTGCTTCATATAATCCTGTTAGTGATGTCTTTCTGTTCATTTCTATCACAGGCCTGAACTCGAGGGGATACTTCAGCTCAGACGCAAGCAAGATGGCCCATGTTCATGGAGTAGTGTTTCTGATCTTGTCATGGTTGTTGTCATAGAACTCTGCCTTTATTTCAGGCTGAAGTGTGTTGTTTCTGTGCCACTGACGTCACCTGCGGGACTGCAAAAAATTGTTGTTGTCCCAAAGTCTGTTGGCTACAGCGTAGGAAAATCAACTTGCAATTTGCTTAATTAGAATCTTCGTTTTAAAAGTGCCCAACTGTGCCATTTTAAAGGTTCCTAATTTTTGTTTCCTCTATAGTAGGGGTGGCCAACCCTGTTCCTGGATAGCCACATTCCTGCAGATTTCACTTGCAACCCAACTCAAACACACCTGCCTGTAATTATCACGTGGTGTTCAGGTCCTAATTAATTGGTTCAGGTGTGTTTGATAAGGGTAGCAACTGAAATCTGCCGGAAGGAAGCTCTCCAGAAACAGGGTTGGCCACCCCTGCTCTATAGGTTCATTTTCACATCATATGAAAAGTTCATACATCAACATCAGCTCTTTTCTCAAAATGTCTGAAACAATTTGTTCAAGGATCCAGTCTCTGTAAAACCCTCCTTTCTGACAGCAAACTATGCTGTCATTGGTTGTACTCTACTATGATTGGTTAGATGACCCTACTCTGCTCTGATTGGACAGATTATCCTTTTATGTTCTTATTGTTTAGATGACGCTACTCTTCTCTAATTGGTCAGTTAACTCTACTCTGATTGGTCAGATGGGCCCTATTCTGATCTGATTGGTCAGATGACCCTACTCTGTTTTGATGTGCTAGATGACCCTACTATGCCTTGATTGGTCTAATGAGCCTACACATCTCTAATTGGTCAAATGATCTAGCTTTGCTCTGATTGGTTAGATTGTACTACTCTGCTCTAATTGGTCAGTTGATCCTACTCCTCTTTAATTGGTCCGATGACCCTACTTCTCTCTAATAGATCAGATGACCCTACTCTTCTCTAATAGGTTAGATGACCCTACTCTTTTCTAATTGGTCAAATGACCCTGCTCTTATCTGATTTGTCAGATGACCCTAATTTGTTTTGATGGGGTAGATGACTCTAATTTTCTATAATTGGTCCGATGTCCCCACTCTTCTCTAATAGGTCAGATGACCCCACTCTGCTCTAATTAGTAAATAGAGAAAAGTAGTACCCTATTTTTTTTTTTTTTTTTTTTATGGGTCAAGGCACCCTGACTATGCTACTTATTGATTGGTCCAAGCACCCTACGCCACCTACGATTGGTCAGATGATTCTAGTTTGTCTGATTGGTTAGAGTACTACTCTGCTCTAATTGGCCACATGACCCTACTCTAAACTGAATGGTCAAATAAATGGTCAGATCTGCTCTGATCAGTTCAATGACCCTACTCTTTTCTAATTGGTGAAATGAACCTACTCTTCTCTAATTGGTCAAATTACCCCGTTTCATTTGATTGGTCAAATGCCCAGGCTGATTCATCTTTTATCTGATTGGTTAGATTGCGCTTCTCTGCTCTAATTGGTCAGATGATCCTACTCTTCTCTAATTGGTCGTTTGACAATTAAATAACAAACTGAGCTTGAGTATTAATTGATTGGGTATAAATTTGCACAGAAAACAGTAGTTCCTGTGCAAATGTTTGAATCAAACCATAACAGGCCTCAAAAAAATACGGTACTTGGGGGTCAAAGCAGACTATGTTTGTGGTCACCCAGCGAAGAACTGATTATTCAAATATATTTTAAATTTGCATACAGTTTGTTTGAAGACTGAAGACTGGAATTATTGACAATTTGTTTCAGGCAATTCACAATCAGTTCAGAATCTGTGCTTTTCTTATATATGCTGATTTGTTTTTTCTCAGCTGTATTAGAGCTATATAACAAATATAACATCCATTATATGGGCACTTTTAATAGTTAACAGAATTAAAATGCTTCAACCGATTTTACAGATTTAAAAAACAAAATCTGGTTGGATATGGCTACACTTTTCCCCTTTTTTACACGTATTGGTGACTCAGCTCCATTGCCTTATATTGTGATGGTTTTTTTTACCTCTTTGTCAAACTATTTGTCTTTTCTATGTAGATTTTATGCAAAAAAAAAAAAAAAAATGCTGGCTTTCTCTTGTAGCTGATAACTTTGCTTAGGTGTTCAGAAGTGAGATTCATATGGAGCACAGTATTAAAGTCCTGTAATGCAGTAGTGACCTGGAATGTTGGATCTCGAAGAGAAATCCTTGAATTCAGAATTATCCCCATGCTGTTTTTTCTTCTGCACACGTCAGTCAATGATGCTGTGTTTGTATATATAAAAAGGCCTTTAGATAGATGAAGTACATTATGTTGTTTTGCATAAGCCCTGAGAGATGTCATAGTTTCAACATAGGCTCATTCTGAAAACGTAGCCATATTTATGTCTCTGGAGATTGCGAATTACATAGCCAGAGCTACCTATGGTTGTTTAGACCAAACGCTACGCATCGGTATGACACCATTCCTTTTGGGGTTTACCAGCTGACTGCTTACCTCCATATGGATGGCTTTCCTACTGTTACCAGTTTGTCCAGTAGTTCGCCATGTACGTTGGCAGACCTGAGAAAGGAATTGACCATGAGGTTCATGTCCGGTGAAGAACGGTTCCAGATAGCAGGTAAGACAAAAACAGAAGCCAAAAAAAATTAATAAACAAGTAATTAGCAAGGTAAGGATTTGGTAACATCTGGAAATGTAGTAAAAATCAGGCAAGGGCTTTTCTTTTTCTGGATTGCTTTTTAAAACTGTCAGTTGGTTTTAGGGAAGTGGGTGGATGGGTCAATCGGTGCTTTTGAAAACACTATTGGTTGGGTTTAAAGAATGAAGAGGGTGGGTCAGGGAATCGCTCAATCTGTCAACAAGTCGACAGTGGCCTCTGGTGGATTTACGTGTGAATAGCACGCACTAATGGCACTCGCGAGAGAAATTTGAGATCTGAAAAGCGTACACATCGGCCTCTGGTGGATTCGTGAAAACAAAAACTGCAAAAATAAATGTAGCTCCTGGACCGTATTTAGCGCTCTCCAAAAATGTATGTAGGGGTACGTAATCAGAATGAGCCTGGGTTGCATTGTTTTGATGAATAACGGCAGTTTGGTTAAATACATAGTTTCTACAGTAGATAATTATTGCTGCTAGTTATTATACGTCATTTGATGATTTCAGGTTTAAATTTTGTTTCTTTAAATTCAATGCATAACCGTTTATTCTTTTTCCTCGTTTTCTTAAAAAAAGAGATGCTTTACCATGTTTGTTCATGTATGAATCATTCTAGGAATATCTGCATTTATATGCTGAGACCAAGATCACATATCATATGTCTAAAAGAAATGTTCTGTATTTTTTTTGTATTATTATTATTGAATTATTAATAATTGGATTATTTTAAAATCATTTACTATTTCAATCAATTATTACTTTTATTTAAGTTTAATGTCTTAATATTATTTTTTATATAATTTATCATCTTGTAGTCCCCACATTTTTGCCTCATTTTGAAATTTACCATTTAGAAAAATGCAAATCATTCATATATTTTTTTTAATTTATTCTAAGCATTTTTGCTATTTAATACCACTTATTACTTATTTATAATTTGTTATCTTCAGAGTATTGACCAAGAAACCTGATCAGCTGAATTATAAAAAAACCATCATTTACATTTATTTTATAATCATTTTATTTTTTACAATGTATCACCTGACAGTACCCCCATTTTTTGCCTTAGTTTACAATTTTGCATTTTATAAATGTAACATGTTGTGGTGTTTCCTTTTGCTGTTATGTAAGCATTTTTTGAGCTATTTAATACGTTTGTATTAATCCTGTACAATCTCCGAGAGATCAAATAAATACCATTTCATATTGAAATGTATGTGGAGCAAATATGTGATTAGCTACAGTATCAGTGATATTTTTTGATCTGGGAGGAGACGTACCTTTCATTCTTGTGTGATGAATGGAGGAGAGCCTGCCTGATCTATATGGTTGCCTGGAGACGATTCCTTCAAAGACTCGCATACTGATTGGTAATTACCAATAGACTGAGATTAGTCTCTGCTGGATGAGAGTGTAAAGACGACAGGCACACTTTTCAGACAGTATTTCAATTGCTCAAGAATATACAGTGGATCCAGAAGTCTGATTATAGTAATGTAGTCTGCTTCTAGTTTGCATTTGTCTAATTAAATCCATTCTTTTTAAGTACAATGTATATTATCAGGCTAATATGAAATGAAATGAATCTTTTGTTATATATTTTTGGCTAAATCAACAGCAAAGAAATTGATCAAAATAAATACACTCACCGGCCACATTATTAGATGGTCACTGTTACAGTTACTGTTGCCTTTCTACCAGCTCAAACCAGTCTTGCCATTCTCCTCTGACCTCTGACATTAACAAGGCATTTGCGCTCCATGTATGTTTTCTCTTTTTCACACTATTCTCTGTAAATGGTTGTGCATTTTTAATGCTATGATGCTCATTTTGGACTGAAGCAGATCATCTTGACCATGTCTATATGACTGAATGCATTGTGTTGCTGCCATGTGATTGGCTTAATTTGCATTAAAGATCAGTTGGACAGGTGTACCTAATCAAGTGGCCGGTGATTGTATGTTTTTATTGAATTTTTTATTTAAATCAAAGAGCCTTCAGGACAGAAATGTTCCCATTAATATGGTGACATTTCATGCCACTGCAATTTAACCCTAAGACCGAAAAAAAAAAAAATAGGCAGAAAATAAAATTTTTCTGGAACTGAGATATTTGTTAAACCATCTAGCAAAATTAAAAAACTTTTTCCATATACATTTTTTTCATATTTATGTTGTATCACATTTGACGCATCAAGTGTTTGTGCAGCTTTTTGCTCATAACAATGTTAATTTTAATTACAAAAAAATGCCCATCAAATTTTGACAACAGAGAACATTTCAGGCAGTTTTTCTCTTTGTTTTTTAATATTAAAAACTTTATAGACTTGTTATATTCAATTTTGTGGTAGGCGTAATATCAGTTTCACTCCATGTTTAGGCAAAGATTCACTTTACACTTACACAGTACACAGAAATTTAAAGTGATTGCTGGATCAGTGATTTTATCCCTGTCAGGTTTCTCCATGTTGGAAAATAATCAGTGTCATGCCTTCTAACATAAAAAGGCACACTGCAGCTTGACTTTTTATAAGGTGCAATTATTGTAAAATACACACAATGCATTTTAAGATGGCATTTCGGTTTCTAATTAGATTAATTAAATCATCTAAAATATTAGGTATGATATAAATTACATTACAAAAATGTGACATGATTGTTTAGGAATGGAGTACCTTTTATCACATTTGATACATGCATTTTTCAACACAATTTATTTGTAACATTAAGATTTAATTATGATGTATTAATGCATTGTTTCAGTCAAGAAAACCTTCATTTAGTAAAATTAGTAACAATAAAAATTGTATTCTTACTAAAATAACTTGAAATTAGCAAATAGTTTTCATCCAAAAAGCATGTGAGTAATTCAATCAGAGCCACCATTTTTAAAAGGTAAAAACTTCCAGTGCCTGCAGTGTCAAGAAAATTCACAAGAGGGCAAAATACAAGTATCCAATTATATACAGCTGGTTTGCAAGGCAAAAATTAATCAGGTTAATATTTTATAGGTCTTAGAAACTTGTATATCAAATATGAGATGTGCGGCTTTACAGGGTTAAGCAAATAGTCTTTGTACCTGGCTTTGATTTTAAGGCTTCAAAGTATAACTAATTCAAATTTTTACTGTTGTAACTTAAAAAAAAAAGTACCATTTGTAATATGTTTGCTTTTTAGTCAGGTTTGGCTAGTGAAATAAATAACTAATTGCAAATATTTTTTTCTGCTTTTTTTAGTACCGCAGGTCAAATTAATAAAAATTCTGTATTTAGAAATAATAATGTGGCTGTGTTAGTATAATCTGTTTTGTATAGTGATGGCCAAAATTATTATTAAAGAACAGTTGGAATATTCAAGAAAGCTTCTTTCAAAGTCACTGAAATTGACTGGCGAAAGCTTGATGTGACTATTTTTAATTTCATAAGGGACCTTTTACAAAATCAATAATGTAGATTTGATTAAGTTTAAAAACAAAACATCAGTAAATAGCGCTATACTGCATAGCCTCACATCACATAGGTTCGTTTTTGACTGACAACCTGTGAAGCGCTTCCTATATTGTTTACCATGCAACTTTTAATATTCAGTCTGAAATGGCAGTATGGCTTTGTAATAAGTGTAATTCTTTCATGTCGCCAGCCAACCACTAAGCATACAGTAGTCGCTTTAGGACAAAATGCGTGAGAGAGTGAGTCCAGTGATCCTTACATGCATGAAATATTGCACATTATGACAAGTTTGCTTGCTACACAACTGAAAACGTGCTAGATATTAAACAGTTTTTGTTTGAAATTGTAGTATTATAAAGTACTATAAAGTTTTCTAACTGGCGAATGACATGAACTAGTGGGTTGTCTGCTGTCATATTTAATTTCATGTTCGGGAGGCGTGGCTTTGGACAGCAGGAGTTATGTTTCAAAGATATTATGCAAACAAATAGCATTTAGGCAGATCACATACTGCACCTTTAAAGTAATAATAAAACCTGCTTAGCAATTAGTGTAAATTAGTAGGGAAATTACAGTTCAAAATCATTTAGTTTTTTTTTCTCATAAAACAGCATTGCCTTTATGTAAAAAAAAGTTGTCATTTAAAGTGCTAAAAATCCTAAAACATATAAATTTTTGATAGCACACATCCTGTTTTAAATTCAAAAAAGGTTTAATGTACCTAAACTGATAAAAAAAATCTCTAGAAAAAGTGTGTATAGGAGCATCCAGGTCAAAAACAATATCTATCTAGTATAATAACCAGACTGGTATCCACACCGGATGATATAATCAATAAAAATAGCAATAATCTCGAATTGAAATTTTCAGTGTCCTTTTTTAACCCTTTAAGATGCAAATATTATAATTACCTGCATGAACAGTTCTTGCCAAAACAGTATGACCATGGTCATGTTTACCAAACATTTTTTTTTTCTTCAGAAAGGCTTAAGCATCAACTCAATAAGCCGTATCCTACATGTTTATTTACCACAGTTTGACATTAAGTTATGAAACCGGTCTACAGTTGAGGTGTGAAATGGAGTTTGCTAAAGCAGATTTCACAGCGAAGGTGTAGGAGTTTATTCCGAGAGCTCAGAGGTATAAGCTTGTCAGGAACACTGACAGGTAAGAGTGCGAACATGGATGTAATCTCCGGAGAACTGCTCCGACTTGCTGGGCTACCGGGGGATTTAACCGTAAATACAAGTCCGGCTGTAAAGGGAGCAGTCGTAAAACGGTCATGGAGTCTTTTGGAAGTCTTCCTTGCATGTCGTTTGGTGCCCTTCGATATCGCCTGTGAGTCCAAGCAAATTTTGGTGGGTACTGATATTTCTCGCACTGATCCTCCTAAATTAATGGCTTCAGTGGAGCTGTAAAGACCCATATGGAAGCGGGACACGGGAAGGCTGCTTCCTAATCACTACTTTTGCCAAGCCAATGTGGCTGCGTAATCTCACAAAATGGCTGTAATAAAGTCCTCGCTCACATTGCAGAGTTTGACCTTATCTTGTTTGACCTTTCATCAGGGGTGTAACAGTAGGCTATGTATCGCAATACTGAACACAATACGATGCTACCAATATTTTAAAGGGATAGTTCACCCAAAAATGACACTTTTCATTATTTACTTGTTCCAAACATGTTTGAGTTTCTTCCTTTTGTTGAACACAAAAGAAGATATAACCTCTATAGCATTTTTTTCCTACTATATAAGTCAATGCCCTACTGAAAAAAAAAAAAAAAAAAAACTTCTGGTTAGCTGGTTTTAGCTCGACCAGCCTGGTTTTAGAGGGGTTTTGGCCATTTTCAGGCTGGTTTCCAGCCTTTTCTAGCCTGGTCTTAAGCCTGGTTTATACTTCTGAGTGACCGGTGTAACCCACGGCGCATGCAACGCGCGTAGCTGTGCATTTATACTTCTGCGCGCTGTCTCTGTTGGTCTGCATTAACACTTCCGAAACGCTAGTTGGCAGTGAGGTGTAAATGTTCCTCTGTGTCGAATTTCTTCGCTGCTGTTTTGCTTTTCCTGAACACTTCCGGGATGTACAAGTGGCTCAAACTCGCTCATTTTGAGGCAGGAACCGGCGGACATGCAACAACTTTAACTATGAGGCAAACACAAAACAAAACTTTTCATCCAGAGCTCCTTCACGGGACTCCACACTTGTAAACAATCGCTCCATCAGGCTCGCACTATTCACGCGGCTCTCGGTCCTGCCCAGACTCAGCGCTACCAAGCCGACCAATCATAGAGCTTGCGCTACGCGTCGTTGCGACGTGTAGTTACATTTTTTGAGAGGTGCATGTCAGCGACACCGACGGCCACGGCGAAGGGCTATGCTAGGCGTTTGACGCAGAAGTATAAATCAGCCTTTAGCTGGTCAGGCTGAAAAATGAGCTAAAACCAGCTTGACCAGCCTAGCCATGGTTGCCCAGCCAAACCAACTATGTCCAGCTTAAAACAGGCTGGTCAAGCTGGTTTTAGCTGGTCATTTTGTCAACTTGCAAAACTTATTGCGTGCCAACATGTCTGCATAAAAGGCTGTTACTCTGGTTTTACAGCACATGAGCGTTGCAGATTTTATCAGCGTGCATGTAACCAACCGGGATTCACTCTGGGAGCTCTGGGTTTGCTTTCACCAGCATTGTTTCGGCTATGAATAACAAACTTGTCACTTGCAAAAGAAGCCAAATGTGAATCGCCCCTAACTGCTTTATTCAGTAATGAC